CAGACGTATATCTGCCATGCACCTGACCACGTTGGCATGGGGAGGATCTGGAGGAAACGGAAGGAGAAGGATGTGAGGTGCAAGACATCTGGCTTATGAGGCTGGCTGGCTGGAGGGGCCATTTGCAGAAACCAGGAATGTGGGAAAAGAATCAGTGTTGAGGGGGAAGAGTGTGTGTTTCAGTTTGAGTCATCTCAAAGAAAGGGCCATTTCATTAGTTGGATAGAGGGTCCAAGGCTCAGACAAGAGGTCTGAATTGAATGTGGAAATGTGTGCTGGCTTCATGAAGGTGGCAGTTGCAGCCCTGGATTTGGATGGAGTCTCATAGGGGAGAGCCAAAAGTGAGACAAGAAGAGGCCTGACATGTGGTCTTAGTGGAAAAAGAAGAGCTTGCCAGGAAGCCAGAGGGAGGAGGAAATGGGGGACATGGCATTGTGTCACAGAGCAAGGGAGGAATATGTTTCAAGTAGAGGGAGTGAGCAATGGGGTGGAATGGAGCTCAGGACTGGATTTAGTGAACATGGAGGTCACTGAGGAGGAGCTATTTTAGTGGAGCGGCGGGAGCAGAGGCCAGATAGCAGTGGTTTCTGGGGAGAGTGGGAAGTGAGGAAGGGGTGGTTGTGATCAACTTTTTCAAGAACTTGGCTGTGAAGGGGAAAAGGTGCAGCCATTAACAGATGAGAACTTTGGGTTCCTTCAGAATAACTCCCATATATTTAAAACTGATGTAAGGCTCCATCCAGTTGCAAGAAACTGGATGAATGCAGAAGAGAGGCACGGGCTCATAGACCAGTGGGTCAGTGCTTTGGTATCAGGAAAATTACAGGTTCCCATTCAGTGGCTGGGAAGGCAAGAGGAGAGTTCACCTGCTGAAAGAGGGGGCTCAGCAGGGAGGCTCCTGAATTCTGAGGAGGCTGCAAAAAGTTAAAATAGTTGTTGTAGATTATAAGGGAGTATTTTGGCCAGAGAAATATAGTTAGATTGGCGTGCAGCATTACAGGCCCATCAGTGCTTCCACTGATAGCCACCGGCCCCATCAGCTGATGTTTTCTATTTTGTCAGTTGCTTGCACACAGGCATGCAGAAAATAGAGAGTGGGGCTGATCCAGGGTTAGAGCTTTGCCAGATAGATGCCATGAAAAGAGACACAAAAGACTAGGCTGGCTAAGAGGGGTATAAAAAAGGAGTGAACTGAGGGGTAAGGAGGAGGGGCCAGACACTCAGAGATTTCAAGGGAGAGAGAGAAGCCAGGACAAGTCAGTGGGAAGGTGAGGGAGAGAGACTCCCATGGACAATATTCATATGGCCAGCCCCATCCCATTTCCTGCATTCCTTTATCCAACCCTTTTTCTGCTTCTCCCCTCCCTACTTTTTTCTGGTTCTTACTTTGGCAACCTCCTTCAGAGAGGTCCTCTCCTTACCCTGGTGGGCCTTGGCTGGCAAAGGAGGATGCAGTGAGGGGCCGAGGCCTCAAGCAGGCCTGTATTCCAAACCTGTTTCCACCGCTTCAATCATTGTATTATCTGGGAAAATAATGTAAGCCTCCATTTTCTATCTGTAAAATGGAGATAACTTTCTCTTCTTCATTGAGATGCTAGAAGGTTAGAGATAATGGTTATGAAAGATCCAAGCAGCATACCAAGCATGTAGTAACTGCTCAATAAACAGTGGTCTTTCCTCCCTGCTGCCTGCCACCAATTCTACACTACTCTGCCACGCAGATAGGCCTGGCCCCCTCCAACACTCAGCCAGGTGACCAACACTAGGTGAGCAGAGCTTGCCAAAGATCTGGGTGGGTGGGCTGATTATCCCTGGCTGGCAGGTGCTGTAGACCCTCTGTCTGCCCACAGATCTTCAAGCTGACCCAAAGCAAAGTGGATGATGAGAAGGCACGCATCATAATTCGAAGCCTGCTGGACCACCCAGTCCTTGAGGAGCTGGACCTGTCACACAACCTCATCGGGGACCGCGGTGCACGAGGTGCCGCCAAGCTGCTGAACCACAGCCGCCTGCGTGTGCTCAACCTGGCCAACAACCAGGTGCGTGGGCCAGGTGCCCAGTCCCTGGCTCATGCTCTAGCACACAACACCAACCTCGTTTCCCTCAACCTACGCCTCAACTGCATCGAGGATGAGGGTGGCCAGGCTCTTGCCCATGCCTTGCAGACCAACAAGTGCCTCACCACGCTGCACCTCGGTGGCAATGAGCTGTCTGAGCCCACTGCCACCCTCCTGTCCCAGGTGCTCGCCATCAACACCACACTCACCAGCATCAACCTGTCCTGCAACCACATCGGGCTGGTGAGTGAGCTATTCTGGGCCTGTGAGGGTAGGTGTGGGATCCAGCTGCCAGGGGTACGTGTGGGATAATTGTGAAGATCACAGACTACATGCTACAGACTGCATCAAATATGCACGCATACCGTGTATCTCAATGTTTATTATTTTTCCCTTAATCTTTATGGTTACCTAAGTAACCGTATATAACCCTAAGCATATTTAACCCTAATTAAGTTTAAGTATATAACTAAGTATATTTAACCCCACTTTCTAGGTGGAAAACTGAGCCTCAGAGAGGATAGTGAATTGCCCAAGGGCATCAAGTCAGTAGAAAGTGGCAAGGCTGTGATTCAAACCCAAGATTGATTGGTAGCCTGAGTCCTTTCTAATTGACTATGTCTCTCAAATTTTCTTAACCAAGTCTGAGAGTAAGAAATGCAATTGATTGGGCGCAGTGGCTTAGGCCTGTAATCCCAGCACTTTGGGAGGCCGAGATGGGTGGATCACCTGAGGCCAGGAGTTTGAGACCAGCCTGGCCAACATGGCGAATCCCCTTCTCTATTAAAAATACAAAAATCAGCCGAGTGTGGTGGCATGAGCCTGTAACCCCAGCTACTTGGGAGGCTGAGGCAAGAGAATCACTTGAACCCAGGAGGCGGAGGTTGCAGTGAGCCAAGATCACACCACTGCACTCCAGCCTGGGCGACAGTGCAAGACTCTGTCTCAAAAGAAAAGTAAAAAGAAAGAAAGAAAGAAAGAAGAAAGAAAGAAAGAAATGCAATTTACAGGGACACAGACATAAATACTGAAATTTATTCTTTATGATATATACTGATATTTTCCTTTACATTCTACTCTATTTTATTTTTTAAAATGCTTCTATGACCCATTGAATTGACTTTGCAACACACTGCTGAGTCAATCTTAGAAAGGTAGCATTCTGCCTCCCAACATGAAATTCTTTCACAATGGGGCTGGCCCACCCAACCCAGCAGGGGCTGGAGCTGTGATGACCGTTGAGTGGGGCCCTCCATTAGGTCACTGAATGCTCTACTAAACGTCCCCATGAGGACAGCCTTGCTCACCTACACAGGCACATACATCCACACATGTGCGCACGCACGCACGCACGCACGCACACACACACACACACGGTTTCTAGAGGGGGTGCTGTTGACTACAAGTAATAAAAAGCTTAACTAGAAATGGATTAAGCAAGGGGAACATTCAGTGTCTCCCACAACCAGAATTAAGGGGTTCTAGGGTTGGTAAACCCCTGGGTTCAGTGTCATCCTCTGGTCTGCCCACCCCAGCCTTGTGCCCAAGACCTTCTCTAATGCTTCTTTCATTCTCAAGATGGCTGCCTCTGACATCTCATAGGAGACATGCCCAGAGGCAGAAAAAGGGTGAACACCTGCTCTCTTTTGTTCTCTTTTCGGAGTGAGGAGAACCTTCACAGAAGCCACCCCCTCTCAGCTTCCCCCTCACATCTCATTAGATTTGCCCCACATGCCCATGGCTGAGCCAAAGGAATGGAATTATCATCATTGCTGGAGATTCATGTTTTTCAAACTAGTAGGGTTGAGAAATCAATTTAGTGGGTCTTGGCTACCATTTTTCAAATGGAAAAGAATAGATTATGTCAACATGTGTCACAAATAGGTTAAGTATTGTTTTGTGAAACTTTTGTTTTAGTCACATCTACATGAAAATGCATAGCATATGCGTGAGATCCTGAGTAGTGATGTAAACGCCCCTTCTTTGGCCCCCTTCTCCCAGGACGGTGGGAAGCAGCTCCTGGAAGGCATGTCAGACAACAAGACCCTTCTGGAGTTTGACTTGCGCCTGTCAGATGTGGCCCAGGAGAGCGAGTACCTCATCGGCCAGGCCCTCTATGCCAATCGAGAAGCAGCCCGCCAGCGGGCCTTGAATCCCAGCCACTTCATGTCAACCATCACTGCCAGTGGCCCTGAGAACTCTGTGGGATAAAATGACCTGACTTGGGTCATGGCCCCAGCCCCATCCCTCATTTCATACCCCTACTGTGCCTGCTAGAGAGGCACTCATTCAGAGGGAGTGGAGTGGGGGACCGTGAATATCCTTGGAGTGATCGAGGGTTGTATGGAGACGTGAGGCAGGGAAGGGAGCCTGGGACGGGGGTAAAAGGGGTATTCAGTAGGGACCCAGCCCCTGTGTCCAGGGAGAGGATATTACTGGACCCCCACACATGATCAACTTCTTCCAGGTATAGGGAAGTCAGAGAGGTGTCTGAGGGACTATGCCTGCCAGATTCTCCCACAGGGGCTGCCTGCCTCCCTGACTCCCCTCTCCACCATTTTCTTCTCTACCAAACAGATGGTCTTCAAACACACACACACACAAACACACACACACACACACACACACACCCTCCTCTGGCTACAGCAAAGCTATGCCTGGCTCTCTCTGCCACCCTTACCCCTGCAGATGCCTCTCCCTGTTGCTTGACTCTGCTTTAAGTGATCCAGTTCTATAGGCCATGCCATCCCCTAGTTCCTCAACCCCCAAACTGGGAAGGGGACAACAAGCTGACCCCAGGGGCTGAGACCCAGTAGCCTCTTCTGGGGAGGCAGCTATAGATGATGACTGCTAGGGAAGGATGACCCGATCCCTGCATCCACCCCAGAGAGCTTCCCCAGGAGGGAGGAGGTAGCGAAAGAAGTGCCACCCTGGGACAGGAAGTCAGTGAGTCATCCACAACTTTATTATCCACCAGTTTGATTTGTACAATCTTTGCGCTTAAATCCACGACAAAAAGGCCACAGTGTGATGCACCCAATTGACAGAGACCTGTCTTCTCCCCAGCCAGGCCCAGCCCACCCCACAAGCCCTTGTCCCCAGGACACATGGAGCCTTCCAGGTGCCCTCCATGAGTCCCCATCACTCTGTAGCTGCCCACCCTGGGGCCACACCTACAGGAATCACATCAGCCCCCAGGGCCACAAGACACCTAGCTGACTAACTGATTCGGGCTGAGTGCCATTCCCTATCCCCCTTGGGCTGACTGATTGGCCCAGAGCCTCCAGACCCGTGTCCTTAAAGGGCAGGTCACGGGCTACAACCCCAGTACAGGAGTGCCTGCTCTCCAGGGACTCCTAAGCAGGCGCTGAGCAGAGCACCAAATGGGGCTTGGGAGTTTCTGCATGTGTGTGCCTGTCCGGGCAACCTAGAGTCTGTCTGTGCCTGACACCCTCTGACAGTTCTGGAGTGCAAACGTGTGTGTGTGAGTGTGTGTGTGTGTGTGTGTGTGTGTGTGTATAGCCACAGCTGCTAGCAGAGGTTCTAATTAGAGAAACAAGAACATTCAGTGTAAAGTTTAATTTTAGAGATTAATTTTCTGGTTTTCGTTTTCCTTGGCAATCAATAAAGCCACCAAGAAAATAGACCAAAGAATTGGTTTCTCTCTAAGTCTGTGCATGTGTGGGAGGTGAGGCTGTCTGTGTGAGACGACCTAGGCAGAAATGGTCAATACAGGCAAAATTAAAAATAGAGGTCCCCCTTCCCCTCTTCTGAGACCCGGCTCCATCTCATGAACAGGCCTGAGGGAGGAGGAGCCAAATTCCTCCCTCCTTGGAGCCCTGAGGTGGCCAGGCTGTCACCACACAGAGCATGACATCCAGGTGCCAGCTGGCTTAAGAACTGGATCCTGAGGCTGCAGCTCACCACCTGTACCTCACAGATGTCCATTCAGAGGAAAGAGGGGTGCTCCAAACACCAGCACCCCAAGGAGTACAGACTCGTGGTCCAGGCAGGTTCAGTGCTGGTAGGCAGGTGGGCACTGCTGTCCAGGAAAATCTGGTGGGCAGCTGTTTCCCCACCTAAGCCTCCCTCTGTCTAGCCTCTCTTCTCCCTCCTCACTCAGCCATCTCTACCTGAAAGTAAAGCTAAACCCTTTAGAAGCCACAGGCCGTGGTATCCCCACAATTTGAGCCCCTTGCATTCCCCCTAGGAAGAAGGGAAGGGGAGCCAGAGGCGATGTTGCATAGGTGGAGGCCACACAGTTGGTTGTGTAGGCCTGGCTGGGCTGGAGGAAGATGAGAGGGGCTGAAGGAGGGAAGGAGGAGTTCTGATGGCTCAGGTGAAGTAAGAAGCATCAGGGGTGAGATGCGGGTGGCCCAAGTGTTATCCTCTCTACCCTGAAACGTGAGCTCAATCCCTGGGCACTAAATCTGCTGGGGAAATTTAGCCAGGGGAGTCGGGAGGGCAGGAGGGCTGTTCACAGACATGCACACTGAAGCACATCGGGGTGGAGGTGGCAGGGGAAGCACAGGGAGAGAAGGCGGTGTCAGAGCTCTGGAGGAACAGGATGTGGGGCCAGTGCCCTGGGGTGGTGGCAAGATGCCCCTTTGAAGACCCTGGGACACACAGCAGGGCTTAAGCTCATAGGATAGGAGAGGATTGAAGGGTCGGGCAAGATGTAGAGAATTCTTGCCTCTGACCCTGCCACTGGAATTGAGTTATTTCTCCAGCTGGGGATTATGGCAATGTCCTCAACCCCCCAGAGATGTGTTTGAGGAACAAGCACACTCCGATCCCACAGGTTTAGGGAGGCGAGGGCCGCCTCCAAAGACACCCCCAACCTTCGGAGGTCCTTTTCCTCTACCCCCAACTTCCCTCTCCTCTCTCCCACCCGCTTCCAGAGGTCCCCGTTGTCACCCAGGTCTGTGTCATGCTCTCTCCCCTTAGTCACTGGCCCTGGCCAGCTTTAAACAGTGCCGCCCAGGTGGCGTCTCACACTCTCCAAAGGGAGCACACACCCAGAACCCAGGTGAGGAGGCTGCCGCGGGAGGCTGCGGAGTTGAGAGAAAGGACTGAGGTACACAGCCCTCCACATCACTCCCCGCCGCCCTGCACTCTGGCAACAGCTCTGCAGGGCTAGGAGGCTGGAGGTGAGTGACGTCTGTGCGGTGAGCACAGTCTCTCTGCACCCGGAGTGGGGGCCCAGTTAGACAAACAACAGCGGAGGAAGCGGCAGAAAGGAAACCCCAATCTTTGGGGTCAGCGCCAAGAAGAGGGCAGAAACATTTCCACGGTGTTGGATGGAGGCTTGGGGCTGACACCTGGCTCCAGCCTCAGACCTACTGAATGCATTAGCTAGCTGGAATCCAGCCTGCTGGTCACCAAACCACCGCCCCCTCCATAGAGAGAGGCCCCAGGGGAGTGAGGCCTCAGAGGAAGGAAACCCCCAAGTTTCCTTCTCCACAGCCTCTAAATCTCCCAGCGGCATGCCAGGGCCTCTCCCTTCAGAGGAGGCCCAACGTGGGGCCCACAGCACGGTTGCCAGCTAACAGAAGATCTGCTGAAGGGCTGGACCGCAGGGAGGTGTCCCCTTAGGAACTCAGGGATGGGGCTGGAAGAGAGACTCCGCCAGGGGGGGATCTCGGAGAGCAGCCGACCCCCACCCGCCAATCGATCTCTTTATGTACAGGGAGGGCGGGGGTCTCAGCCCCATCCGGGTCTGTCTTGCGGCCCTCACCTCCCCTTCCCTCCCCGCTGCGCGGCCTCAGTCGCCGTGGTGACTCGCCCTGCGCCGCTCAGGGAGCACAGTCCGGCGAGGGGCAGGCGGGAGGATGGCGCGGGCCGCTCCGTGGCCGGAGGTCACAGTGAGGTCTCTACGCAGGAGCCGTGGCGGTGCAGCGGCCGGTGGCTGTGGCCCAGACACCCCTCCTGCCGGTGGACGATGAGGACCGGGAAGTAGAGGGCGTCGTGGTAGGGCGGCGGTGGCCCGGCCTCCTCCTCGTCGTCGTCCTCGTCGTCCCCCATGCTGGCCTGGCTGGACAGCCGCGTCTGCTCCGTGGGGCAGCTGGCCTCGTTGACGCTCCCGCTGCGGCTGCGCCACAGGCAGCTGCGCCGAGAGCCGTAGAGGCGGCCGAGCGAGAAGCGGCTGCCCCCGCAGCCCGCGCCCCCGCCAGGCCCCGGGCCGGCCCGCGGGCTGGCGCAGATGCTCAGGGCGCTGCGCGAGAAGATGGACGAGCTGCTGACGGCGCGCTGGCAGTGCTCGCAGCTGCGCCGGTAGGGAGCCACGCCCGCCGCGCCCGGGCCGCCCACCCCGCCGTAGCGGCATGAGGGCGCGTAGCCGCTGCCCGCCCCGCCACAGCGCGCCCCCAGCCCCGCCAGGTCCATGAGCACCGCCTCCGAGTAGCTGGGCACCAGCTGCTGGTTGGAGCGGATGTGCCACTCGAGCTCCGTGCTGTCCACCGTGTTGACCCGCGGCAGGCGGTGGGTGAGCGGGGGCAGCAGCTCGTCGCTGGGGCTGAGGCCGCCGCCCGCGCTGCTAGCCGAGCCCGGGCCCTCCAGGCCGAAGAGCTTCTCCACGTGGTAGTGCGCGTAGGCCGTGCGGTACTCGGACAGCACGCGCAGCGGCCACGACAGCGTGAGCAGCGCCGCGGCCCAGAAGGCCGACGAGCAGGCATACCAGGGCGGCCGGGCCGGGTCCGGGAAGGCCACCATGAACTCACGGAAGTCCACGTTCTTGAGGTGCATGCCCTCGCGTGCCTCCATGTAGTCGTCCAGGCCCTCGTTCTCGGCGAAGAAGCGCGCGCGCTGGCACAGGTACGCGTTCTCGGCCTCCACGCTGGCGAAACTGAAGCACTTGGTGAAGCGCAGCCGCGTGGCCGGCGCGCCCTCCAGCCCCACTAGCGTCTTGGACACGTCGCGGACGCCGCAGCGTGCGTAGTCGAATTCGGCCTCCGCCACGTGCGTGTTGACGCGTTCGTGGTAAACCTGCGGCGTGTGGGGGTGGGGGCAGGCGATGGGATCGTGGGGAGCCCATCCGCGGTGCCCATTTCTGCCCACTCACCCTTGCCCGCCCCATCGCTGCTCTGGTTGCCTGGTGGGACCGTAATCCTGTCTTGGTTTAGGTGCCCGTTGGGTTGGATAGGATCTTTCCATCTGACTTACAGAGCAACTGACGCCCTCTGCGTAATCAGATGTGAGGCCCGGACTAGAAGCAGCCCTACCTGTGCGCATTTAAATTTTAACTAAGCCTTGCTTCCTCTAGGAGTCAGGCCCTGGCCATGAACTGCCCCTCTGGCTTGCCTGATCCTTTTGCCACTGCCTCTGTTTTCCAAGTGCTCCCACATCACCACAAACAGCCTCTTCATCTTTCTTTCATTTTACAGTTGTGTTTCCAAATGGGTTCCTCAGAGGCACTCCCTAAAGAACCCCTCTGTCTCTAGTCTCCCTGTTCCGGCTGGAGCTGTCATTCAGCCTCCTTCCTGCTTCTCACCGGCCCCAGGCTTGTCTGTTGATCCTTATACTGAAACAGATGGCCTGCATCTGGGAACGTCTCCTCCAGGACCCCAATATGTCTCATCCTGGCAAGTCGGCAAAGTGCTGATTGACCTGCCCACCCTCAAGGAGACTTCCCACCTCCTCTGAGAGCCTTGGACTTGGGATCCAGGAAGCTAGGTCTGAGTCTAGCACTACCACTTAGGAGCAGCAGATTTGGGGCAAGTCACTGAGTTTGGGTGTCTATACCTGTGAAAGAGAACTCAGTAGCATCACCTCACTGAACAGGTAAGAGCATGCTGTGAGACTGGGCATGTGAAGCCATCTCCAACCATTAAACACCAACTTTTTTTTTTTTTTTTTTTGAGATGAGGTCTTGCACTGTGGCCATCACAGCTTACTGCAGCCTCAACTGCCTAGGCTCAAGCTATTCTCTCACCTCAGTCTCCTGAGTAGCTGGGACTACAGGTGTACACCACCAGGCCAGCTACTTCTTTTTATTATTTATAGAGATGGGGTCTTACTATGTTGCCCAGGCTGGTCTCAAACTCCTGGGCTCAAGAGATCCTCCTGCCTCACCAAAGTGCTGAGGTTACAGGCCTGAGCGACTGCACTCTGCCATTAATCACCAAATAGACTCATTAAGCACTAAACAGTATAGATCCTGGAGCCAGATTGCTTGAGTTCAAATCTCATCTGTACCACATACTGCCTATTTGACCTTAAACATGTTACTTAAACTCTCCAAGCCTCAGTTTCCTCATCTGCAAAATGGGAATACTTACCTACCTCACAGGTTTGTTATGAGGATTAAATAAATGATTTGACGTTTGGAAAGTACTTAGAGCAGAGCCTGGCTCCTGGTCGGTGTTTGCTGTTGTGACTATGGTTGTTGCTATCAATCTGCTGTTGCAATGCCCGTGGGAGCTCACTGCTGCTGGTGCTCCTCCCGCCTTCCCCCCAAGGAGGTGGGGAGGGAGTGTGGCTGGGCCAAGTGCCACCTCCCCTCTTGAATATCCTGCACTCCCCGCCAGCTCACCTGGGTGGTGGTATAGGCGTCTCCGTTGCGGTATCTGGTGACCTGGCGGGTGCGGCGGACATAGTGGTAGCTGATGGCCTTCCACCAGATGCAGGGCGTGGCTTGCTGCATGCGGTCCACACGCTCCCGCACACTGCTCACATCAACACGGTGCTGCAGCTCATGGCGGGCTTGGCAGTGCCAACACTCCACCAGGTAGACGGCATACAACATGAGCAGGAAGGCCAGGGGGATGTAGACATAGCCGTTGGAGCAGGGGCTGTCATGGTACATGAGGCTGTTGCCCTGGTAGGCGCTGCTGAAGGTGAGTCGCGTCACTGTGGTGACGTGGCACCAGGCCACTGCCCCCAGGCAGCCGTACATGAGCAGCGAGAGCAGGAGGCACTTCCAGTGGGACTCACGGCAGAGGGACTTGGTGAAAGAGGGCTGGATGGGACGCTGCTGCTCAGGTGGGCAGGGAGAGGGGCCAAGATGAGTGGGAAGTAGAGCAGGCAGGACCCAGTACAGAGATGGATGCAGGGATGGAGGGGTAGAGGCCAGCACCAGAGATAACAGGCAGAGAGAAACAGACAGGGATATGGAGAGAAAGTGAGTCCCAAGTGGGAGCCAGGGACCAGAGGTAGAAACAGAAGTGACACAGAGCGAGCCATGAGGACAGGAAAGGGGATCAGAATGCCAGTACAGGACAGTGCAGAGAGAGACAACCCAAGAGGCAGAGAAGGATCAGAGCCAGAGATGGAGGCCCAGGCCACAAACACAGATGGATAGGTTGGCACCCAGAGAGAGTCCAAAGACAGACACAAAGATGGCAATGAAACAGGAGAAGGTGTGGACAGGGAAGACAGGGGAGGACAGACAGACAGGCATCAGCGAAGGCAGGTCCCCAGCCCAGACCCCTTCCAGGTGCTCCAGAAAAGGGGGAGGGACCCACTGATATCACCTCCCACTTAACAAGTGGGGCCCTCACTTCTAGACTTTTTTCAGTCCTAGGTTCTAGAGGAGCTACTCCCCTCTGACCCATCCACCTCCCTAACCCTCACAATTAGCCTAGAAGGGCCTCCAGAGAACCCCAGGCCCTGTCTCATTCCCCATAGTCTAGACCCTGGTTCCCCTGTGAGCCTCCCTCCTGTGCCCTGACATCCTTCCCTCTGTCCGAGGATGGGAGGGAGGGAGCTGGGGTCCCTGAGCAGCAGGCAGTCAAGGAGGAGGTATCCAGAAAGGCATAGGCATGTGGCTGAGGAGAGGACGGGCATAGGGGATGTGGGACCGGGGTATCGAGGACGATGTTTGAAGCCCAGCCATTTGTCAAGAGAAAACGGTATTTGGTACTCTCCCAGAGCCTGTCTGTTAAAGCACTTGGCACAGTCTGTCCCAGGGTTGGCCCCGGAGTTGTTTACATGTCTGGCTCCCCACTAGACTAGGTACTTCTGAGGTCCCATGCCTCATTCTCTTTGCATCCTAGATGCCTGCCATGGCCCTGGCCCCCAGCAGCCACATCCTAATTGAGTTTGATCTCTTGTCGTGTCTCTGTTTTCCCACCCCTCCTCTCTGCTGTCTAGCTTTAGGAACCCATACCCCCGACACTCACACACAACGTTCTGCTGGGACCCTGACTTACTCCCTTAATTCCTCAGGCCTGACCTAGAGGCCAGGCAGGGAAGAAAGGAAAAGAGTGGAAAAGTAGGGTACAGAAATAGGCATTAGGCCCTGGATCTACAAGTACGGATAGTTAGGTGAGCTAGGAAATAGCACACAGTACAATGGACAAGGAGATTAGGGCACATGTGCCTTTCGGGGAGCCTTGTCCTTAGGAAGTAGGAACATATGGACCCCTTTGTGTGCCTGCCTCGCTGTGTGCTTGTCCCAGTGTGGGTACCTCTGAAAGGGGCTTTACCTGCATGCCCATCCCTGCTCACGTGCTTCAGCCCTAGTGCAGGGTGCATGCGTGTGCACAAGTGTGCATGGGAGGCTGGAGTGGGGGTGCTCCTGGTACTTTCCTCCTTCTCTTTGTCTTCAGGTTCAGAGAACTTAAGACTAGGGAGCCCCAACTAGGGATATGAGGAAGCAGTAGAAGCCCCATGAGAGAGGTGCACACCCCCCAACACACACACACTCCCAATGACCACAGGGGGGATTCCCCTGCACACATCTGACCTTCTTAGGGTCCCAGATCAGGTAACACCATCACTTCCCCATCATACCCTCCTGGTTGTGTAGCCCCTACAAGTCGTCCTTCCTAGCCTTCTAGGTAGCATCCCCCCTCTGTAAGACAGGATCCCCGCCACCGTCCCCACCCCGGTAGAGCCTAGCCCCCTCTCTCATCCGCCCAGGGTCCACGAGGCTCCGCCCCTTGGCCCCTCCCCCTGCCCGGGACCCCCCTGAGCCCCGCCCCCGGCGCGGCCCCTTCCCCGGCACCAGGGACAGCTCCGGCCGCTGGGTGGGGGCGGCGGCGCGGACTGCAGCTGCGGCGGCCGGCTCGGGGTGCGGGGCGCCGGCCGCGCTGCGGCGGAACCGGCGGGGGCCGCGTGCCGTGGGGGGATGGGGGCCAGGCTGCGGCCGCGTCCCGGGAAGGGGCGCCCCCGACTCTCACCTCCTCTCGGGCGGGGCCCTCGTCCGCCGCCGCCGCCGCAGCTACCGCCGCCGCCGTGAGCTCCTCCGGGACCCCGAGGCCGCCACCGCCGCCGCCGCCGCCGGCGGCGCTCTCTCCCGCGGCCGAGCCAGGGGGGGACATGGCGTAGAGGGGGCGCGTCAAGCTCAGGACCTCCCGGGGGGCTGCCAGGGGCCGAGGGCATCCTGCGCCGGCCCTGGGGAGAGGACGGGAGGGGGCGGGGCCCTCGCTGCTCCCCACCCCCCGCCGGGGGGAGGGGGCCCGGGAAGGGCACCGGGAGTAATGGGCTGAGGGCTGGGGGTGGGGGGCAGGCTGGGGGGGCCGGGCCGGGGGGGCCGGGGCCGGGGGCGGGTGTCACCTTGAGGCCCTCGCGGCGCCGCTCCGCCTCCCGCCCGCTCCCGCCGCCGCCTTTTGTCTGAGCCGAGCTGGAGCCAGCGCGCCCCCCCCCTTCCTCCCCGCAGCCGAGCCCCGCCCCCAGCCCCCCAAACTCCGCCTTCCCAAGCCTACCTAATAACCACCCCCCCGAAGGGGTAAAACAACAGGGGCTCCCCACACCCCGTCCCCGCTCCCAACCCTGCTCACCGCACCTCCCTCCCGCGCTCCCATCCTGAGAGAATCTATGCCGCAACCCCTCTCCATCTATTCTTCGTGGACGGGGCGCTCGAGGTTCAACCAACAGCACCCCCCTACACACACACATCCCGGGTTCCTGCAAGTTCCTGGGGCTCAGGAGTGGGGAGAACAAATTGATTCTTGGAACCAGAGGGAACATCCTTACTCCCAGTTGCGTGGTAAAGGGTTAAGGCAGAAGCTAGCTTGGAGAGGGATGGAATACGGTGAAAGGGAAGAGATTGAAGCTAGATGTGAGAAAGGACTAACAGAGGGCAGAGGATAGGACATTGGAACCAGCCTTCACTGAACCATCTTCCTTCCCTACAAGAACAGCTTCAGAGAGGCAGTGAAGTGTGTGCAATGCCCTAGGCTGAAGAACTCAGGAAACCTGTGTTCTAATTCTCAATCCTGTCTCTGCCATCAAGGAGCTATGTGACCTTGGGCAAGTTCCTTCCTCTCTCTGAGCCTTAATTTCTTCATCTGTGCAATGAGGAAGTTGACTGGACAATCTCTAAGGCTCTGACCTAATGGGTGTAGGAAGCAAAGTCACAGACCACAGGCCAGGCTGAGCCACTGCAGGCAGCTGATCCCTTCAGGCCATCTACCCCACACTGCTTTTCCCTGCATCCACTGGCACAGCAGGAAGAACCCTAACATCCATCCATTCATTCATTCATTCCTGGATGTCTCCATTCAATAAATAGGTGTTGGGTACCTATTGTGTGCCCAGTACAGAAATGAAACATAGTTTCCTGCCCTCAAGGAGCACAAAGTCTAATGGGGAGAAAAGAACATGAAAACCAACTATTAGGAAGAATGTAATAAAAGCAATGCATGATCAATCTTGTGCATGCACAGTCACTGTGGAATCCTACTATATGTCATTGGGGTCTTTGACTTACAGTAACTGTTCTCCCCATTTACTCACAAGGAACCAAGGCAGAGGGAGAGTGAATGGCTTACTCAAGGTCACCTGCTAGCACTCACAGAGCTAGTCCTAGAATTAATATCTTTCCCATTCAAAAGTCAATGGGGAATATTTGTGGGTAGAAAGTTAGTTTGAGGCAAAGCCTTGATGTCTGCTTTTGGGGGATAGTGTTCAAGGCCACTGATCTGCCCAGGATGTTCCTTGCCCTTACTGGGGACAAGAGAGCCACTGCTTTCACCTCTCTAGTCCCACTCCTGGCCCTGCCTTCATTTAACTACTCTTCCCTTTCCAGGAGAGGTGAAGGTGGCTCTCTGTCCACCTGTTGCTTAGAGCTACCTGCATGGCCCTCTCCAGGTTGGTGGGTCCATTCTCCCTGCCCAGAAGAAGGGAAAGGAAGGGTCTTGTTCACTCCCTTGGCAGAGGCAGAATATCACTTGGTGGCTCATTCCAGCATCTCCCACCCATGCTTTTTGGGAATTTGGCCTCACAGCTAAACTCCAGCCCCTCTTGTTCCAGTTTCAGCCCCTTCCACCCAATTCAGTCCTCACTGCCCACAGAGAGCAGAGCCCCTAACCTTGGCCTTTCCAAATCCACAGAGGATTCCTCATGCTCCCCATTTAGGCACCACAATCTTCCTCTTGACACCCACCTTCCTGTCTCCACTTCAGAGGCTTTGGATGAGGGACAGCTTAGCTCTTTTTGGCCAACCCTAGAGCTCCCAAGAGACAAAAGCCTACCCCTGCCTTCTCCATTCATACACAGTACCCTTCCCTGGAAGCTACAGGAAACAGGGGGTGAAGGAGGGGGTGGTGGAAGGAGCCAGCTGACCGGCTGGTCACCATGGAAACTAGGCCTGTTTCCTGAAGATAAGCCTAGCTGGGGTGGGTGGAGGTGGGGAGTGGGGGCACAAAAGGAATCAGAAAACAACAGAGAGAAAGATTAGAGGAGCCCAGCCTCAGGGAAGACTGGAGCTGAGGAGGCGAGGTTAGGTCCCTAACCATGCTTCGGCCTAAGTCAAAGTCCGCAGGTCACCCTTTCAGAGAACAGTGCCATGGTTCCTCTCCCCATTCCTGGAGTGATGGAAAGGATACCTGTCAAGAGTGCAAGCTCTGGTCCAGGGGCCAGTGGGTGACTCAATGCTGACCTCATGTGGCCATAAAAGGGACTGCCACACACCTGTCATGGCTCAGGGCCAAACACCTGGCTGGGTTGAGTGGGTTTTTCCTTAAATTCAGCCTCTGTATGAATAAAAAGAAGGTCCTTGCACACTCCTGAATTCTTACGTCCTTGCAGAGGGCTCAGACACTCCCACCCTATGTGGTTTACACCTTGATAAAGAAAAGAAGCTTTCACTAAAAAATATATAAAATTTTGAATTAGGTCAGAAGCTATCTTTGCACTTTGTATTTTTTTTTTTTTTAATTCTTCAGCTAAGACAGCGGAAGAGGTGATTTATTTTATGGTTGTTACACTCGGCCACAAGTAAACACAGAAATAGTCCAGAATGTCACAGGTCCAGGGCAAAGGACCAACATGGGCAGTTTTGGTTATGAGCAAGGTGGGTCTCAGAGGTGATCAGCGATCAGATGGCGATGAAGTTCTAGATCCATTGAGACAAGCTCTAGACAGTGGCATGCAGTCCCACAACTTGTACCAGCATCCCCAGCGTCTGGCATTCCATGTTTCTGCCCCTGTGGCCTCCACGGTGCAACAAGCTAGCGGTTTACTTGGATCTCTGCCTCATCTTTCTTCTTTTGCGCTTCAGCCTGCGCATTCGTTTCTTCCTCCACTTGGCTCTCATGGCGCAGAGGTTTCCAAAAAAAATGGCGCTAAGGCCGAGAGGTGCACTTTCTATTTTACCTTGAGCAAGTTAACCCACCTCTTGGGGCCTCAGTTTCCAAACATTAAAATGGGAGTGATAGTGTCAGATTTTGTGTGGGGTTTTGTTTTTGTTTTTGTTTTTAGACTGAATCTCACTCTGTTGTCCAGGTTGGAGTGCAGTGGTGCAATCTCAGCTCACTGATGGCCACCTCCATCTCCCAGGTTCAAAAGATCCTCCTGCCTCAGCCTCCCAAGTAGCTGACATTGCAGGCATGTGCCACCAGCCCTGGCTAATTTTTGTATTTTTATTAGAGACAGGATTTCGCCATGTTGGCCAGGCCGGTCTTGAACTCCTGCCCTCAAATGATCCACCCACCTCAGCCTCCCAAAGTGCTGAGATTACAGGTGTGAGCCACTGCACCCAGCCAGATTTTGAACCCAGTTGGTCTAGGTCTGGAGTTTATTACTACATTTTTGCTGCAGTCTTTGAGGACTGGAGAGGAACATGTCATGGGAGGAAATTGAGAACATCTTAAATCATGCTGACCCAAGGGAAGGAGATCCTTCAACTTCCCTGGGCATTGCTCTCCTGGCTCCTCACTGGGCTCCATGCTTATCACATCCTTCCCACTCTGGTCCTCCATGGGGTTGTAGAACAGTGGGCCGTCTTCTCCCCTCAGCCCTCATCCAGCTGTTCTGTCTCCAATCACCCCTCCCCCCAAGACTAAGTCCTTCTCTTCTCCCTATCTCTCTTCCCTTCCCATTCTCAGTTCAAATGGAACCTTCCTTGTCCCTCACCCCACTGAGTAATCGGCCCCACTGTGTGCCCCCACAACACCCTGTTCTCACTCCTGTCTTATCCCAACCACTCTGAGCTGTAATTGCCAAGGACCTTTTTTAGGAACATGGGATTTTTTTTGTTGTTGGCGGTAGGTGGGGGTGGGGGTGGGGTTTATTGGTTATTACCGTTACGTGATAGTCAGTTTTGCTTCAAGTAGAAAGAACAATGTCAGACATTATAGGAGATGTTTCATACATGTTTGTCAAATGGATGAATGATGGATGAATAAAACAAGGTTGCAGGGGGAGAGCAGTGGGAAAGCTGGCCTCCCCCATGAAGAACGTTGCTGTCTATGCTCATCCACTTTCCTTTCCCCAGTGCTGGAGATGGAAAAGCTAACTGTTCCCTTGGGGATAACCCTCTAAGAACATTGCTGGTTCTAGGCCGGTAGCACTTGGAGAAGTGGGGAGGAATGAGGGAGTAAATCAGGGGACACCGTTTTAGGGCTAACTTGTGGTAGGGTTCTCCTATGGCCTCCCCAGGCCCAGGGACAGGGAAAGAGGAAAGAAGTTTTGGGACTAAGACTGGGGCAGTGGTGGGGACCTGAGCAGAGTGCAACCCAGCATGTCGGGGCCTCCCCAACATGGCCCCACTTCCTTGACTGCTGGAGGTGACCAGAAACTGTAACTACCCAAGACCAGGGTTTCACCCTTTGAGGAAGAAGAAACCCCATAACCACTTTGCTTTTTAGACAACAACAGTCTGCCTGAGAAGACGCTCTTTCCAAAAAAAACATTTTCATGCCTAATTCCACGTGATGTGGGAAGTTGACACAGGAGACTGTCTTCCAGGACCCAGGAGAACCAGTCCTTTAAAGATGATGGGAGTCCCCTTTCCCTACCGATACTCCTGGGCACTGATAGGGAAAGATGAGAAGTGCTTCCCCATCCCACCACGCACATGCCCATCCCCAAAGACGCCAGCTTATACAGACAATTAATAGATATTTCTTTAAAACAAATTAATGGTCTGGGCCTGGTGGCTCACAGCCTGTAATCCCAGCACTTTAGGAGGCCGAGGCAGGCAGATCGCTTGAACCCAGGAGTTTGAGACCAGCCTGGGCAACATGGTGAGGCCTCTCATCTTTTCTTGTAGTCCCAGCTACTAGGAGGCTGAGGCAGGAGAATCGCTTGAACCCGGGAGGCGGAGGTTGCAGTGAGCCGAGACTGCACTCCAGCCTGGGCAACAGAGCGAGACTTTGTCTCAAAAAAATCAAAATAAAACGAATGAAGAAATAGAAGTGAAAGAAGGAAAGAGTAAATGCGTGGAACTAATGAATGGAGTGAAAGAGGAAGGGGCAAAGAGTGAATGAATGAATGAGTGAATGAATCAACGAAGAAGTGAGTCAGGGCCCGGGAACCACAGACTCCAAGCCTACGTAGAGGCGAGGAAGGGGGATTCCGGAGGGGCGGGGTCTCCTCCCGGAAGCGCCAGCTGGGGGCGGGGCGGGGCGGGGCCATCTGAGACCTCTTTGGTCCCGAGGGGCGGGGCGAGGAGGAGAACCTGCTTGGGCTGCCCGCCTGCCCAGAGTAACCGTTGGGTGGACCCGGTCAGCGCTCCGAACCTTGTCCTCGCTGCGTGCCGGCCCCTCGGAGCCCCACAGCCCGGGAAGGAGGCCGCCGCGGGCCGGGCGCCCGCTCTGCTAAGCCGACCCGCAACCCGGAAAGGCGGCGCGGCGGAGCCCGGAGCCGGATCCTGCTCGGACTGGGCCCCTGCGGGCAGGCGCCGCGGGCATGTCGGAGGCTCGGAAGGAGCCGGACGAGGCGGACGAGGGCCAGTACGACTCTGGCATTGAGTCTCTGCGCTCTCTGCGCTCCCTACCCGAGCCCACCTCGGCTCCAGCCTCCGGGCCCTCGGACGGCGGCCCTCAGCCCTGCACTCATCCTCCGGGGCCCGCCAAGGAACCTCAGGAGAAGGAAGACGCTGATGGGGAGCGGGCTGACTCCACCTATGGCTCCTCCTCGCTCACCGAGACCCTGTCCTTGCTGGGGGACCCCGAGGCTGAGGACCCGGCCCCACGCTCGCCACTCCCCCACGCGGGGGCGCTGAGCCCGCAGCAGCTGGAAGCGCTCACTTACATCTCCGAGGACGGAGACACGTGAGTATGGGGGATAGGCTGAAGCGGGATGCTAACTCTGGGCCTGCCCAAGAGCCGCAACAGGCCGGGCACCCCACTCCCCGCTTAGGATCTTTCAAGTCCCCATTCACTCTTCCAAACTCCAGACTTAACTCTCAGCCCACTTTTGAGGTCCAGGCAGGCCCAGACCAGAAAACCTGGCATCATCTCTGTCCTCCCATTTTGGGGTGGGCAGAGCTGGCAGGACCCTTACCCAGGAACCACAGCCAGCATCTTGGAAATCTACCAGTAATCCACTCTTAGGAAGAGAAAATTCCCCTGACCAAGTCCAGTTTTTTTGTTTCTTCTTGCTGGGGAAGGGGACATCCTTATTTGCTCAATATCTGGGATTCCCAGTTCCTAACCTCAGAGTGCTCTGTCTCAAGGGCCAACAGGTGCCAGTTACAGGGTGCCATTCGGGGGCCAGGAAGCTAGGCATGGGGGGGGTGCCACCAGGGTGTAGGGTTGGGGCTGGTCCTCAGGAGTAGGGGTGAGCCAGACTGGGGCACTCTTGCCCCAGCAGACAGACAGGAGGCTGGCTGCCCCAGCTTACTTCCTCCTCTGCTAAGAAAGGGGAAGTGAGGGCTAGAGTCAGCATCCCTGACATCCTCTACCTCCAGGGCCCCCCGAATCCCACTAACTGTCATGCCTTACTCCCTCATTTAACCCTTCCTTCTCCAGACCCAGGTGGAGTTTGGTGGGAGTGGGCCAGAGGACAGTTGAAGTAAAAGGCAGTTGTATGGGATGGGTTGGCCAGCTGAGGATTTAGCACCCCCCCCAAGAAGAAAGCATTGACAGAGGAGGGGAAGGTTGGGATCTGGGGATGAATAAATAGAGTTGGTGAGGGGGCTGGAATTCTTGATCAAGGGTGCTCAAATACATAGGAGTAGGGGAGGCAGGAGGTGGCTGTTCTAACCTGCTTTTTGGAGGTGCAGGGGCCTAGTCCTGGGTGATCATTGATAAAGATAGCTGGTGGGCCCAGTGGGTAGGAGAGGAGTGACCCAGTCCTTTTCGTACTCTGCCTGGATCACCAGCCCTCAGGTCCAGAACCCCAAGGTTTCGGGGGCTGCATGCAAGATACCTCTGATGACGTTTGATCCAAGGAGAGGGGACTTTTGACACTGCCATCTTTAGTCTCTCAGCCCCAGCCTTTACCATCTCTAGTTAGAAGCAGGTATTGTATCCAGACGGGGTGTGTGTGGGGACAGGAGAAGCGTCCAGGCTCCCCAGGTAGTCCCCAGAGAGGAGGGGGCATTTTTCTCCATTGGAGGTGTCTGGGCTGTGGAAGGTATGGAAGTGGGAAGAGGAAGTGGGAGGAGGGGATACTGGGGGAGAGAGGGAGGTGGCTTCAAGAATGTGACCCAGAGAGCAGGCCCTGACCGAGGGGATTTCCAGAGCAGTTCCTCCCTCCCTCCGTCACTCTCCTGGGCCTCTCCTGCTGCCTGCCGCCAAAGCTTGCCACCCTCCTGCCCAAGCAGCCCCCTCCCAGCCCAGATGGGCCTTTTAGCCAAGCTACTGTCCTCACTAATGCCCCAAGGCAGCTGTCCCGACCTAGACCCTTCAGCACTGGCTTTCATTTTCCCCACCTGACGTGGGGAAACCCCAAGACTGGAACTTCCCCTCCCAACTAACCCCATTACCCCTAGATTAAGGTTCTTGGTCCCCTCAACAAACACATTTTCTGCACTGCAAAGACTTCCTCTTGGAGGTGCACACAGGAATGGAAGGCCCCTGGTAGGCCTGACCTGGTCTGTGCTATCTGAGAAGCGCTCTTGACTCCCCGGGAAGGGCAGCAGGACAGGATGCTGCTCTGTCTCCTTGCTCCTCTTCCAAGAGTGTCTGTGTCTCTCCCTTGGAATGTGTAACATTGAGTTGCTTGGGGGTACGGAGTGACCCTGCATCTGCCTCCTTCTTTCCTCTGTGCTGGGGTGCTCAGCCCTGGAAACCCCCTCTGGACTACTTCGGCAGCTTTCAATTTGGCTTTGAGCTGCAGCTGGCCCGGCAGAGCCCTGAGGGCAGAGAAGAGTGGGTGTGGGCAGGCTAGACAGGAAGGCCCTTGTCTTGTCAGCACCCTGCCCACATGCCCACCCAGCCACGGCCCTCCTGAAGGCCATCAGTGGGAACTTGGAGCTCCAACCTCTAGGATCCTGGCTTCCCACACCAACCCTCACTTCCTCGCCCACATTCTCACTTCCTGGACCTACCCTATCGGTAGCTAGTTAAAAGTTGATGTGTTCCTTCTAACCCCAAGACCCCAACCCCTCCCTGTGGCCTGGGCCCTAACTCCAAGCCCTGCCTCTGCTCCCCTAGGCTGGTCCACCTGGCAGTGATTCACGAGGCCCCAGCAGTGCTGCTCTGTTGCCTGGCTTTGCTGCCCCAGGAGGTCCTGGACATTCAAAACAACCTTTACCAGGTTGGTGACGAGAATGGGTTGTGCCCAGATACCTGTTTGTGCCCTGACAGCCATCCCCAGCAGCTACACTAATCCATAGGCTACTCACTCAGGAAACCATATGCCAGACACTGAACTAGAAGCTGAAGAGACAAACACAAGTAAGATACGGCCTCTCCCTAAGGTGCTTGCAGCCTGGGCTGGGGGATTCATGTCAACAGCTAAATACACAGCCTGGTGACAAGAGTTGTGATAGAGACACATACCAGCTGCTATGGGGTCTAGCGTCTGTGTGCAGCAGCCAGGGAAGGCTTACAGAGGAGGTGACGTCTGAATGGAGCCTTAGCAGAGAGGTTTGCCAGGGAAAGACTGCCTGGTGCCTCTGTGTTTCCTCCAACATAACCCCTGCAGCCTAACGCCTAGGGGTAACAGAAGTCTCCCCACAGGATGAGAGGCTAGACTCTGTCCCTGCATGTCCTTTCTCCAGGGCCTACGGTGACTTACAAGAAAAGCAGAGAGCTACTTTCTTCACCTTGTTTCCAGAATTGGGGTCCCAAGAGATTGGTGGGACTCGGGGCTGACAGGAGAAGGGCTTGGTAGTATTTCCTTGGAAGCCCAGGCTATGACTTTTATAAGCGGCTTTCAAAGAAGATGCTGGCAGCTGGTGCTTCTGGAGCCCAAGCTTGTTCCCAGAGGTGGGAGCATGCTGCAGTGGCCCAATGACCCTCTATTTGTGCCTCCAGACAGCACTCCATCTGGCTGTACATCTGGACCAACCGGGTGCAGTTCGGGCACTGGTGCTGAAGGGGGCCAGCCGGGCACTACAGGACCGGCATGGTGACACAGCCCTGCATGTGGCCTGCCAGCGCCAGCACCTGGCCTGTGCCCGCTGCCTGCTGGAGGGGCGGCCAGAGCCAGGCAGAGGACCATCTCACTCTCTGGACCTCCAGCTGCAAAACTGGCAAGGTGTGGACAGTCTTAGGGCCTGTGGGAGGAGGAGGGCCTAGGAGATAGGGATCCCACTCTTCGGGAAGGGAGGGTCCCAGCTTGTCCATTGGTGCCCCTCCTACTGTAAGCACATAGAGATTCAGTACATCTTTGCTAAATGAATGAATGGATGATTTGAGTTAGAATTTACCCAGTACCTACTGTGTGTTGAGCAGAAAACTAAATATTGCTTTTAAGATACTTAGTTTAACAGAGATCAGATGACCTGATTCATTCATTCAACAGAAATGTACCAAGGGTTTTCTGTGTGCCAGATATTATCCTAGGAACTATGTTTGCATCTGTGTGCATAACAGAGAAAAATTGAGACGCGCAATAAATACAAGAAGTGAGCTATGTAATAAGCTAAAAGGAAGTAAGTGCTGTAGTGAAAAGTAGAGCAGTGGCGGGAAGGAATGTGGGGAACAGCAGAGTGGATGTGGTTGTTCAATAGGGTGGTCAGGGAAGGCCTCATGGAGCCAGGGACATCTGAATAGGGACTTGAAGGAGGTGAAGAATGTAAATTTGAGTCGAAATCTCTATTAGTGAGCAAGGGTCAGGAAGTGCCCAGGTGTCCAGACCAGAAAGGAAACAGCAAAAAGGCCAGGGGAACACACAGAAGGAAGTGGCCCCTAAGAAAGGGCTGGGAGCCTGAGGATCTTAGATGGCTTTTCAGAAAAGGTGGCTTTCAGATTGGGCTTGAAGGCAGGGGTGTGTGTGTGTGTGTGTGTGTGTGTGTGTGTGTGTGTGTGTGTGTGTGTGTGTGTGTCTGTGTGTTTTGTGTATAGGAGGAGGGTGTTTTTTGGCATGTCACTCAGCAACCTGACTCCTGAAGCATGAAAGTTTCAATAACATGACTCTGAAAAAGTGGAAACTTTGAGTTCCTTTCCCCTTAAATTTTTGAGGGGGTTTTGGGGTTTGCATTTTAACAGTCTTGTGATTAAAGACATTGAGTGGGCAGTGAGTCCCATGGGGCTGAATGGCTGGGAGGTCCCGGAAGAGAGGGAGTTGGTGGGTGCAGATCAGCAGCCCTCACCCTCACCCCATCCCAGGTCTGGCTTGTCTCCACATCGCCACCCTGCAGAAGAACCAACCACTCATGGAACTGCTGCTTCAAAATGGAGCTGACATTGATGTGCAGGTGAGGCAGCCATCAGCACACTGCCTGGCGCAGGGCCTGCCCCCCACCTGACCCAGCCCCAGGTCCCCTGACCAGCAGTCAGAAGTGGTAGCATTTACCTCCTTATCCAGAGCCCGGGCCCAGCACACTCTGAGGGCCTTGGCTGATATCCTTATTCCTTCCCAGGAGGGCACCAGTGGGAAGACAGCGCTGCACCTGGCTGTGGAAACCCAAGAGCGGGGCCTGGTACAGTTCCTGCTCCAGGCTGGTGCCCAGGTAGATGCCCGCATGCTGAATGGGTGCACACCCCTGCACCTGGCAGCTGGGCGGGGCCTCATGGGCATCTCATCCACTCTGTGCAAGGCGGGTGCTGACTCCCTGCTGCGGAACGTGGAGGATGAGACACCCCAGGACCTGACCGAGGAAGTAAGAGGCATATGCTTTGCTCTCCAGGGCCTCCTCGCACACCCATGGCAGAGAAACGTGTTGTCATTAGCTGAAAGGGCCACAGAGCTCGGAGTCCTGGGGTATAACCAGGACTGTGCCACTGGCCAACTGTGGGAACTTGAGCCTGTTTCCTTAGTTGGTCAGGACCAGGGAGCCAAATTTGGACTCCTACAGGGACCCTGCAGTTAACGTGAATCAGTGAAGCTGGCCAGGTATGAGACCATGGTGCGGTGAGGCCTGTAGGAACTCAGAGAGCCATCCCTGATGGTCTCTGTACTCAGCTTCAGCAAAGGCTTACAGAGCAGGAGTGTAAGCCCAGTTTTTCCTGGTCTTGGAATTTTTTGAGAGGTGAAATCCAGATTTCCTGTATAATCTTTCCTATTTTTAAATGTTCAGTGTGAAAAAGAAACCCAAAATTTTCTGCGAGTACCCAGCCTCCCCCACCCCCACAACAACAAAAAACCCAGGTCCATGGGCAGGATCATCTCTAAGGTCCCTCCTAACCCGGATATCCTGGCATTATCTTAGAAAAGGAAGGCTCACCTATGTCCTCAGGGCTCTGCCCAGCCCGGAGAGGCCACTACTTTGAGGATTCGTATGAAGATTTGTTCCCTGATGGTCTTCAACTGTCATTTGGTGGGGAGGGAGTGGCCCAACAGGTTTCCCTGGGTCCCCTTTCCCAAGTCACCTTTTCTCATGTCCTCTGATCTTGCTTCTCTCCATTCTCCTTCTCAGTCCCTTGTCCTTTTGCCTTTTGATGACCTGAAGATCTCAGGGAAACTGCTGCTATGTACCGACTGAAGCCAGGCAGGGTCTGGGATCCTCGGGGCTCAACCTCTTTCTATCTGGAAGCTGGAGTCATCACTGCTGCAGTTTGGGCCCAGGCTGTGTGCTCTTCTGGTGCCCTAGGGACTGCTATGGCCAGAGCCTGGGGCCAGCCAATAGAGTCCTGAGCTGAGAAGGAGGGACTGCAAGTGAGAGAGAGCCAGTCTGGAAGGAGGAGCTCTCCAGATGGACAGGGATTCTTGGAAGACCCCCAAAGCCCCAGGTATCCTGGGTGAAGCCTGTTTGCCTCTCTTGAAAATGGCAGGTGCTCTTGTTTCTACCCATGTTGGGTCAGCCTGAAACTGTCAATCAGTAGGAAACATGATGGACACTCCTGAGTGAGAAGAGACGGAAATAGGAACAAGCTGAACTCTGAGAGGGGTCCTATCTTACTGCTGTTGAGGACCCTGAAACACTTGTTTAAAGACTCCACAGAGAAGGCTCTGAACTGAGCGACTGGGGAAGGGCAGTTTCAGTAACATGACACTAAAATGGCAGAGACGTTAAAAAAGTTTTTCCCTTCTAGAGCTGTTTTGCGTGCATGCATGTCTGTGTGCATTGGGGCTTTTTAGACAGGCCTGCCCTATGACTTTGTGGTGGAGGCAGAGAGAATGAAATTGTCCCCTGAGCACGGTAGGGCCTTGCTGGGTAGGGTCAGAGGCCAGTAGTCCCCAGGCCTTTCTCTGTGTCCAGCATAGACCCTTGTCCTTGCTGTGGAAATGATAAGGGATGAAGGGAGAGGACGAAGAATGGGAAGACACAGGCCCTGGAACCCTCCCCACTGCCCTGGGCACTGCCATCTGGAGGAGCCTGGGGACGAGGGTAGCCCAGGGTGGCTGGGCACAAGGGAGCTGTGACTTCACATTTTTCCTCCCATTCCTCACCTTCCAGGGCCCAGCTAGGTTGGTCCTATGCTGGCATGAAGAGGGTGGGGAATAAACCAGCACAGTCGCTGGCCACTTGGAGCTTCTCAGCCAGCAAGAGAGACAGCTGTTAAAAGTGTAAACATCCAAATAAAGATGTCCTTACAAGTTGCAGTAGGTGCTGTGAAGGGAAAGAATAGTGGGAAGGAAAAGGAGTCGGGAGAGGGTCATGCTTTGGGTGGCCCGGGAACCCCCGCCTGAGGCCTATCATCTCAACTGGATGTAAGGATGAGTAAAGGGATGAGGGCAGAGCATTTGGGGGAAAGCCTTGAGTAAATTAGAAGAACTGAGAGCAGGCCAGCGGGGCTCCACAGCGGGTGGGTGAGTGGGCGAGGAACACGGGCAAGGCCATGTAGAGGTCATGAGAAGTCGGGGGACAGGATTACTGCCCAGCCAAAAAAGGAAGGAGACACCTTCATCCTTTCAGAAAACGGGAAAACTGTAACAGAGAGGGGCTTGGGATGCAGAGTCTTAATGTCCGGTCCACAAGATGGCAATGGTCACCATGACCTCTGGGACGCTTATGAAGGCCGAGGGCGATGACGAAGCACAGGGGACGCGCCAAGCTGGCGCCTCTCCAGGACTGGGGCTCCCTGCGCCCAGGGACAGCCCAGCTCCCCGAACCCGAGCCGCATCTGCCTCCGGGCCGCGCGGGGGCGCTGTGGCCCAGCGGCGGCCCGGGGCGCTGCGTGGTCGCGGCAGGGGCGGAGGGGGCCGCGGGGAGGGAGGCGGGAAGAGCGCGGCACTTCCGCTGGCCGCTGGCTTGCTGGCCGCTCCCGGAGGCGGCGGCGGGAGCGGAGGGAGCGCAGGGGGCGCGCGGCCCGGGGACTCGCATTCCCCGGCCCCCCTCCACCCTACGCGGCCTGGACCATGGACGCCAGGTGGGGGGCTAGGGCAGCGGCGAGCTCACGTGACCGAGCCCCCGGTCCACGTGACTGCCGCACCTCAGCACTGGGGGCCGGGTGGGGTCCTGGCGACCCGGCTGTAGGCCGGCATAGCGCTGCCCAGAGCTAGTGGGGATGGGGGTGCGACTTGGTTTTGTGCTTCTTGGGAAGCTTCGGGAGTGTCAGGCGGAGGGGCTGGGGACCCTGAGTGTGGAAAGGAGGGAGGGTGGAAAGGAGTGTGGAAAGGAGGGTGGGGGAAGGGGTGCCGCCTCTGGCCTGAGCAGCGGGCTAACGCTGGAGGGAACAGAGGAGACCTGTGTGGCCGGAGGGGCGGATCCGCCCCCGGGGAGGGAGGAAGCCCTGCCTGGCCAGTGCCGGCCCCAACCCCCCCGCCCCCCCGAGAGAAAGAGAGGCTCTTTGTCCCAGCCAGGCTGCAGCGGAGGGGGCGGGGAAGAGACTGCGGGCCCTACTCCACTGTGGTCCCCTCTGGAGGGCGGAGGGGATGAGGAACTGCACCCTAATCCTTACGTCCGCCTTCCCTACAGGTGGTGTGCAGTGGTGGTGCTTGCTGCGTTCCCCTCCTTAGGGGCAGGTGGGGAGACTCCCGAAGCCCCTCCGGAGTCATGGACCCAGCTCTGGTTCTTCCGATTTTTGGTGAATGCGGCTGGCTATGCCAGCTTTATGGTACCTGGTTACCTCCTGGTGCAGTACTTCAGGCGGAAGAATTACCTGGAGACAGGTGTGTGTAGAAAGGGCGGGGAAGTGAGCCAAGTCGGGACGGAGGATGTTGGCCAGCAGTCCAAACGGGATAGGACTTGGAGAGGGAGAGAGGGAGCCCGGCCTGTAGGCGGGACAACAGAGCAGGCTGGCTGCTCTGGGGAAGTAGTGCTACGGAGATCTGGGGCTTGACTTTGTGTGCTTTCTTCAGGTAGGGGCCTCTGCTTCCCCCTGGTGAAAGCTTGTGTGTTTGGCAATGAGCCCAAGGCCTCTGATGAGGTTCCCTTGGCGCCCCGAACAGAGGCGGCAGAGACCACCCCGATGTGGCAGGCCCTGAAGCTGCTCTTCTGTGCCACAGGGCTCCAGGTGGGTAGGTGGGCTCAGCCTCTCTTCCTGGGTTGGATCCCGGTGGGCAGGGATTCTGTGAAGGTTTCCATCTTACCAGTCCCAGAGCTTTGCTGATTGGTGTATTTCGTGTCCTCCTCCCAGGGGCACGCTGCACCTCCGTCTTGGAGGTGTTTGGGGGAAATGCTCTTTTCTTTCCTCCTTTCCCCCTCTCCAGCACTGGTACTGAAAGTTCATGCTGTTATTTCAAGATGTCTAGTGCAGAAGAGAGACCTCCTCTTGCCCTCTTCTGTGATTTCTACCGTGCCGTTATACTTTCTGTACTGCTGTTGCACATACTGTGAACTCACTGATAAAATTGCGAGGGAGCCCTTCAGTCGTCCCCCAGTAGTGCATGTGAGAGGGTGCTAAGATGCTGACCCGTGGCATTTTGCAGTGAGTACTGGTTCCACCTTGAATATCATGTTGAACTACAGGTATCCAGTTCTCCCTGAGAGTTCTTGCCTCCCTGAATTGGTTTTTCGCACAGTTGATTCCCTGCAAGGTGAATCCAGACTTAGGAGGGGAGAAGAAACTCCTACAGAGGAACCCGAAAGTGTGTATTTTCCTTTGAATCACTGGGCATCATCCTGAAGAAGAGGGAGAGGTCTGTTTTTGTCTACCTTTTCATTCTCTTGCTTATTGTCTCCCCTGCCTCTACCTTTGCCCACCAGGTGTCTTATCTGACTTGGGGTGTGCTGCAGGAAAGAGTGATGACCCGCAGTTATGGGGCCACAGCCACATCACCGGGTGAGCGCTTTACGGACTCACAGTTCCTGGTGCTAATGAACCGAGTGCTGGCACTGATTGTGGCTGGCCTCTCCTGCATCCTCTGCAAGCAGCCCCGGCATGGGGCACCCATGTACCGGTACTCCTTTGCCAGCCTGTCCAATGTGCTTAGCAGCTGGTGCCAATACGAAGCTCTCAAGTTCGTCAGCTTCCCCACCCAGGTGCTGGCCAAGGCTTCTAAGGTGATCCCTGTCATGCTGATGGGAAAGCTTGTGTCTCGCCGCAGCTACGAACACTGGGAATACCTGACAGCCACCCTCATCTCCATTGGGGTCAGCATGTTTCTGCTATCCAGCGGACCAGAGCCCCGCAGCTCCCCAGCCACCACACTCTCAGGCCTTGTCTTACTGGCAGGCTATATTGCTTTTGACAGCTTCACCTCAAACTGGCAGGATGCCCTGTTTGCCTATAAGATGTCATCGGTGCAGATGATGTTTGGGGTCAATTTCTTCTCCTGCCTCTTCACAGTAGGCTCACTGCTAGAACAGGGGGCCCTGCTGGAGGGAACCCGCTTCATGGGGCGACACAGTGAGTTTGCTGCCCATGCCTTGCTACTCTCCATCTGCTCCGCATGTGGCCAGCTGTTCATCTTTTACACCATTGGGCAGTTTGGGGCTGCTGTCTTCACCATCATCATGACCCTCCGCCAGGCCTTTGCCATCCTTCTTTCCTGCCTTCTCTATGGCCACACTGTCACTGTGGTGGGAGGGCTGGGGGTGGCTGTGGTGTTTGCTGCCCTCCTGCTCCGAGTCTATGCACGGGGCCGCCTAAAGCAACGGGGAAAGAAGGCTGTGCCTGTTGAGTCCCCTGTGCAGAAGGTTTGAGGGTGGAGAGGGCCTGAGGGGTGAAGTAAAATAGGACCCTTCCACCATCCCCATTTCCCTCTTCGTCACCTCTGAGGAGCTGGCTCAAGGGCAAAACGCAGGTGTTTTCTCAGTATCACAGACCAGCTCTGCAGCAGAGGGTGGGGAGCCCAGGAGGCAGCCTTCCCTTTTGCCTTAAGTCACCCATCTTCCAACAAGCAGTTTATTCTGAGCTCCAGGGTAGAGACAGTCCTCAGTGAGGGGTTAAGAGGGCATAGAGAGCTTCTACAGTTCTCTAAGTTCTGGTTAAGTCTTGCCCTAGCTGTGGCTCTGCCACCTTCTAGACTCCCCCCACCGCCCCCCATCTATAGACATCCATTTCTTACCCTGGTGAGAAAAGCACAAAGTGGTGTAGGCTCCAATGCTGCTTTCCCAGGAGGGTGAAGTGAAGATGGTGCTGTGCTGAGGAAAGAGGATGCAGAGCCCTGCCCAGCACCACCACCCCCTAAGCTCCTGGATCCCTAGGCTCTGCTCCATGAGCCTGTTGCAGGTTTTGGTACTTTAGAAATGTAACTTTTTGCTCTTAATTTTATTTTATTAAATTAAATTACTGCAGTGGACTTGGTCCTGTGTTTTGGTTGACTGAAAGGGCCTCATTACATGGTAGTTTACCCAAACTGCCTTTAGCTTCAGTGTGTGTTAAGACACAGAATACCAATGAGCCCTAACTACAAAACCAACTCAACAACTTGCTGTGCTCATGAAAACAGGAAGGAAAGAGCTGGGGTATGAAAGGAAGAGAAGCTAGGGAAAGACAACATATCCACCTTACAAGGGAGAGCAGAACTGTATAAAAACAGCATATTCTTTATTTTGCATACTTTAATTTCAGAACAAAATGAACAAAATAAAAAACCACAATACACAACATCCAATCCTGCTGTCAGAGTAGGGAAAGAATGGGGGCTTGACACCCTTGTTTCCTGCCTTCAACCGAAGGACAGGACAGAAAAACACCAGACATCAGCAAGGGGAGCAAGGTGGGAGAGGGGCACTCAAGGCTGCAGGGGGAGCCATGGGGACACTATACAAGGGCAGTTTTCCAACGACGAACTCCTAATCTACTTCTTCCATGCGAGACGCATCCTCATCACCCTCAAGAGGAGGGATCTCATCAGGAACTGCAGCACTAGGTTCCTCTGCTGCCACTTCATCTTCATCAATACCTGAAGAAAAAAAGCCATGTGAGACTTCACCAAATAGCAGTAAATCAAATACATACAAGAGACTAGTTGCACAAACACCTTACCACACCAAATACCAAAGCTACTTACCTAGACCTAACTTGATCATGCGGTAGATGCGGTTGGAGTGGGTCTGGGGATCCTCAAGGGAAAAGCCAGAAGAGAGCAGGGCGGTTTCAAACAGCAGCACCACAAGGTCCTTAACTGCCTTGTCATTCTTGTCTGCCTCAGCCTTCTGCCGCAGCGTCTCCACAATAGGGTGGTCAGGGTTTATCTCCAGGTGCTTTTTGGCCATCATGTAGCCCATGGTGGAGTTGTCCCGAAGTGCCTGGGCTTTCATGATCCGCTCCATATTGGCTGTCCAGCCGTAGGTGCTGGTCACAATGCAGCAGGGTGAAGACACAAGCCTATTGGAGATTGTCACCTGTGGACAATCACAAAAGCCTTTTCACTTTGAAAGAGAAAATGGAGCAGGACGCTGTGGCTCATGCCTGTAATCCTAGCACTTTGGGAGGCCAAGGCGGGCAGATCACGAGGTCGGGAGTTCGAGACCAGCCTGACCAACATGGTGAAACCCTGTCTCTACTAAAACTACAAAAAATTAGCCAGGCATGGTGGCACACGCCTGTAATCCTAGCTACTCAGGAGGCTGAGGCAGGAGAATCACTCGAACCCGAAAGGCGGAAGTTGCAGTGAGCTGAGATCACGCCATTGCACTCAAAAAAGAGAGAAAATAGGAACTGTCATGCCTGTAATCCCAGCACTGGGAGGAGATGGGCAGATAACTTGGGTTTGAGACCAGCCTGGCCAACATGGCAAAACAAAACCCTGTCTCTACAAAAAATTAGCCAGGTGTGGTGGCACACACACCTATAATCCCAGAAGACTGAGTTTGCAGTGAGGTTAGATCCAGTTAAAAAAAAAAAAAAATGGTATTTTACCTACTCTCAGAAGTTAACTGAAGGAATGCCTAATCTTTGCCAAATTTATTAAAATAGCCTGCCTCAAACCACAAAGCCCACCTCAAAGATACGCTACAAAATATATCCTAGTCCCAGAATGGCTTACCTTCTCAACCTTCTTATCTAAGATTTCTTTCATGAGCTTGCAGAGGTTCTCAAACTTTGCCTTGCTCTCTTCCATTTTCTTCTTCTCCTCCTCATCCTCTGGTAGCTCCAGACCCTCCTTGGTAACTGAGACCAGGCTCTTCCCATCAAACTCCTTTAGCTGCTGCACACAGTATTCGTCAATGGGCTCAGTCATATACACCACCTCGAAGCCCCGCTTCCGCACTCGCTCCACAAAAGCTGAGTTGGCCACCTGCTCTTTGCTCTCACCTGTAGGATTATTCAATGGACTCAGTGACCAAAGTGCCTCATACTGCCAGTTCCCAGGTAGCCCTGAATGTGCTCCCTCCTCCTCCAAAAAGGCTTCAATCAGAACCAACGTACCAGTGATGTAATAGATGGACTTCTGTGTCTCCTTCATGCGAGAAACATACTCTGACAGAGATGTCATCTCATCTCCAGACTGGGAAGTGTGATAGCGCAACAGCTCAGACAGGCGGCGTCGGTTAGTGGAATCCTCGTGAATTCCAAGCTTCAAGAGTGGGAAGAGAAAAAACAATCCAACTACAATAACCTTACCTTCTATAAGAATGGAAGAGTTTATCGTAATTACTAAGAAAGTGGTAAAGGGAATAACCATGTGCCTCCTTACCTTGAGATTTTTAGAGAATGCCTCATAGAATTTCTTGTAATTCTCCTTGTCTTCTGCCAGCTCAGAGAAGAGCTCAAGGCACTTCTTAACAATGTTTTTGCGAATGACTTTCAAGATTTTGCTCTGCTGGAGCATTTCTCGGGAGATGTTCAGAGGCAAATCCTCAGAGTCAACCACACCACGGATAAAGTCTGCCATCAACCAGGGTGAGAAAGCTCAGTAAAAACAGCTAGACCAGACCTGGTACCCAGATTCAAACAGAAGGCTCTATTGCCCCCGAACCCTCACACTATGTATTGCAGAGAACTATTACACCTAGAAAAAATACCTTTTAGTTGCAGAATGCTTAAAACTTTGTCCCAAGACTTCACCCAACTAAATTATGCCAAGGAGATACTCACTGAGATACTCTGGTATCAACTCATCACAGCTGTCCATGATGAATACACGACGGACATAGAGTTTGATGTTGTTCTTTTTCTTCTTGTTCTCAAAAAGGTCAAAGGGAGCCCGACGAGGAATGAACAGCAATGCCCTGAATTCCAACTGACCTTCTACAGAAAAGTGCTGAAAGAATCCAAACATAAGCAAGTAGTAGCATATTTTCAAGGAGTGCCTTTAGCCGCAACAAATTATCTAAAAGTGGAACAATGATCCTCCCTAAGCCTGAAGGACAAAGCACACGCAACAGGCAGCTCTCCAGAAAACCAAGCCTTAATGCCTTCAATGATCTAGAGGGGCACTAGCAGTGTAGAGAAAAAAAGTCCCTTCCGATCAGAACCCTGGATGTGTAAGGCTGCCACAGACGTTACCAAGATTACCATCAGAAGAGAAAGTGAGGTCATTAGGAAGGATGGCTCCTCACTCTGACAGGGTAATCAATGAAATCACATGGCTCTCAACATTTGTTATTAGGTGGACAAGTTCCATGTGTCTTATTACCTGCCAAAACACCACCTACCCACTCCTCTCCATATTTGTATGTTGAGCCAATGTGCAAGGGCTTCTCACCTTGACTGCCAAGTGGTCTTCCCAGTCATTGGTGAGGCTTTTGTAGAATTCTCCATACTCCTCTTGAGTGATGTCATCAGGGTTTCTAGTCCAAATAGGCTTGGTCTTGTTTAGTTCTTCCTGATCAATGTATTTTTCTTTGATCTTCTTAGTTTTCTTCTTCTTATCCTTACCACTATCATCTTCCTCATCTGAACCCACATCTTCAATCTTCGGTTTTTCTTCATCATCTTTATCTTCCTCTTCTTTCTCACCTTTCTCTTCCTCTGCCTCATCATCACTAATTTCCTTCTCTCGTTCCTTCTCCAACTAAGTAACAAAAACAAAAGTTAGCCGTGAGTACTAACCATAACAGGGAAAGCAAAAGCCAGGGACCATGACGACTCCAGAACAGGAAACACCCTGCACGTTAAGTGTAAAAGGTTTAAAAGTCCACACTCACATAAAGGGTGATAGGATAGCCTATGAACTGAGAGTGCTTCTTCACTACTTCTTTGACCCGCCTTTCTTCTAAGTACTCTGTCTGATCTTCTTTAAGGTGGAGGATCACTTTGGTACCCCTGCCAATGGGCTCACCTAGAAGAGTCAATCACAAGGCATGTAACAGGGTTCAAGTCAAAAAAATATATGTATTAGCAGAACTGCTATAATTTGAACTGCTTTACAAACAGGATGCTAAAAATTTCTGCCACTTCACAAGCCCAGAAAACTCCAGCCCAGCTAACTTGTAACAGGAGAGCTTACCATGGTCAGCACGCACAGTGAAGGAACCTCCAGCAGAAGACTCCCAGGCATACTGTTCATCATCGTTGTGCTTTGTGATCACAACCACTTTCTCTGCCACCAGGTAGGCAGAATAAAAGCCAACACCAAATTGCCCAATCATGGAGATGTCTGCACCAGCCTACCAACAAGTTATTTAAAGTCAAACACAAGTTTTAAAAAAGCAACAAACCAAAGAACACTGACAAATATGAATGGTGTGTGCCTACAAAACTGCACATACCTGAAGAGCCTCCATGAATGCTTTAGTACCAGACTTGGCAATGGTTCCCAAATTATTTATGAGATCTGCTTTGGTCATGCCAATTCCTGTGTCTACCAAAGTCAAGGTACGTTCCTGAGGGTTGGGGATGATGTCAATTTTCAGCTCTTTACCACTGTCCAACTTGGAAGGGTCTGTCAGGCTCTCATAGCGAATCTTGTCCAACGCCTGAAAATACAAATAAGAATTTGCTTTTGCTTTCTCTTTAAGACAGGCTCTGGCTCTGTCGCCCAAGCTACAGTGCAATGCAAGAATCACTGTAGCCTTGACCTCCCAGGCTCAAACCATCCTCCCATGTAGCTGGGACTACAGGCACATGCGACCATGCCCAACTAATATTTAATATTTTGCAGAAACAAGGTCTTGTTATGTTGCCCTCAAACTCCTAGGCTCAAGTGATTCTCATGCCTTGGCATTACAGGTGTGGAGCCAACAGCTTGACCAATTTTTTTTTTTTTTTTTTGGAGACAAGAGTTTGGCTCTAATTGCCCAGGCTGGAGTGCAGTGGCGCGATCTCAGCTTACTGCAACCTCTGCCTCCTGGGTTCAGGTTCAAGTGATTCTCCTGCTTCAGCCTCCCCAGTAGCTGGGATTACAGGTGCTTGCCACCATGCCCAGCTAATTTTTTGTCGTTGTATTTTTAAAGACAGGGTTTCACCATGTTGGCCAAGCTGGTCTTGAACTCCAGGCTGGTCATGATCCACCTCCCAAAGTAGTGGGATTACAGGCGTGAGCCACTGCGCCCACTTTTGTTTTCTTCTTCAAAGAAAATCTTGGTGTATTTCTCTCAGACTCAATCTAATTGCCCCTTATCTTGAGGCTTTAGAACCATAGTTAATTACATTAGTCGACTTATCCTGGACATAGTCCCTTTCAACTTCAAAATGGCCAGAG